TCATAAGTAAGTTGTACCTTACTTACTATCATGTTGTGGAAAGTAAACAATAGGTTGGAAATAACCTATGATATTTGGAGTTGGTCAATGACTCAACAAGAGATAACTCATTCCTAGCACTGGAGGTTTTACTTGGTAGGATAAGATGTGTCGTGGGCACATCATCTCCCCCATTAAATATGGGGATATTTAAACACTAGTTTCAAGTAGGTGAGAAGAGAACACTATGAAAAGCAAGTAATGTTGTGAGAATCAGTTTGAGTCTCTGCTCATGAGAACCTTGTGGATCCAGGAATAGTGGTACACACCTTTAATCCCAGCAGAGCTAGGCAGATATCTGTGAATTTGGGGTCAGCCTGGTCAACATAGTGAGACCCCGTCTCACAAAGGTCATAAAAAATCAAAATATAAAAGCAAAAACCTTGTGAGAGGGAACCAGCTGTGGCACTTATGCTGTTGTGTACCATCTCTGCTCCCACACTGGATTTGCAGGTGTTAAAGATGCCAATGCCTGGCTTCTGGATTTGGAAGGAGTATACTCACAGTAGAGAGAGCTATAGGCTAGAGTCGACAACTGATTGGGAGAGGGATTAGTAAGAGAGGGAGGTCCCTGGGTTATGACTGGGTAGATTAGTGTACCAGGAGGAGAAAGGATATGCAGAGAAAGGACTGCACTATATACAACTTTGTGCCATAATACATTTGATGATTCTTAGATAATTGTTTGATAAGCATCCTATAATAAGCTTTACCCAAAGGACACCCAAACAGAGACTAAAAAGGGAAAGTTATCCACATCAGGAGTTTACAGCTAAACTTATGATTAGTTGCACAGTAAGAGACCCAGATTCATTCAATTTGTGGTCTAGTTAATCCCTATGGGTATGAGATAGACTGCACCTCAACCACGTCCATGACTTGGCGTTTTTATGACAAATTTGATACAAACTGGTAAGACAGACATTGCTTTAATACCAGATGTGTTTCTGTAAAAGACCTATATCCGGAATTTATAAAATTTATCTGTACAAAATGTTAAAAGTCCTAGAAGGGCTCAAAGAAAACAATGTAACAAATGACAACTGTCCTTGTGCCAGCCCAGAGTTAGGGTACATGGCCAACCTTCTGGAGAAGACACACCAATTGGGTTGCTTTTCCTCCCCCGCCCCTTTGTCTCGGGGTTGGGAGGAGAGGGAGGCAGAAGAGATAGGCTGACCTGGAATTGTGTGAGATAAAAGGGCTGGGATGGTGGGGGGATGAAGGGACAGCCTACAGTTTGGAAAAAAAACGCAGGAGGGTTTTCAGGGAATATGAAGGGGTTGCACCTGAGTTCAATGATATTCATTAAGGCACCTTCGAGTGTCATGCTGTGTTTTGTGGAAATGAACTTGGTTACTGATGAGATTGCAGAATCAAGCTTGGGGAACTGAAGAGATCCTTGAAGAACATCAAAGCCAAGAAGGTAATTGCATGGGAGAAAGAAATTGAGACCACAGAGGAAGTGACTCCCAGACTCACAATATGTGAGTAAATTAGGGTGCATTTAACATTCTCTCGTGTGTCCCACCATGAACTAGTCTTGATGTTATCTTCAAATGTTTGGACTCTTGATTCTTTCTCTACGTTCCCATTGGCCTGCTGGGATCCAGATGTCTCTGGTTATTTAAACACACAGGCCTTCTACCTTCTCTATTTTCCTCTGTCTTTGGACAGGATCTACAGAAAGGGGGAAAATTTTGAAGCTTTGAATGCTACAACGACCAAGGCAGCAATAATGTTAGGGACTCTAGGATATATTATACTCTGAGTAAAGTCGGAGGAAGACACTATAGCCAACAGATTGGCCCAGTGTCTTATGATGAGGTTCAAGTAGAGCAAGAAGTGGTCTGGAGGTGGCAGGGGATAGGAGTCCTCAGGAGAGATGGGACTGCACAGGAGCTCCATGTGTTGCCAAGTGGATGGAGAAGGAAGCTTGTCCCTGAGAGTAGACCATGAACACAGAGCAGGGGGCTGTACTTAGGTGTCTGCCCTAACTTCAGCTGGCCAGAGCTGGAGATCCTTTCAGGGCTGCAGAAATGCAGCAGAAGGCCCAACTTGGTCATCAAGGCCCGCACAAACCATACTGAGGAGTCTGGTCTGGATGGAGCACCATCCGATAGCTGTGGCCTCCCGTCTCCCCTGGCGATCATGTCTGTGCTATTTCTCTTAGCCTCTCCCGTGCTCTTCCTCTCCCCTGTTGCAGATTATCAGCCCCGACAATGGAACGCTCACACTGAGAGCAGATGGCCACTCCGCAGTGGAAAGGGAGATGCCAGGCTCCCTGGGCTCACCGTGGAATCTCAGTGTACCCAAAAATGAGTGTTAAGAACAAGCTGCTTAGCTTCCTCTAGCTTTCATCTCATGAAACTACAGAAATACAAACTACATACCAATTACAGAAATAACATCAGCCCCTCCAAGGGAATTGCATAGGAAAAATCCTTACGCACTGCTGAGGAAGGGTCATCATGACTTCTGTGAGGCCTTCAGGTGTGGGTCTATGATAAGCACAATGGAGTAGCTGGATCAATCAGCCTGCTGGTGTTTTGTGCCATCCCTAGACCAGTGACAGCTTCATGTCAACCCTGAACCTTCCTCAGGCCACAGGGCCACAGCCTCTAACTCATCTGAAACTCTGCTGTCGCCTTTATTCTCCGCAATGGTAAACCAGTATTTAGACTGCACCGACCTTGCAGGTGGGAACAAACTTTCTGTCTGACCCAAGTCTGCACACTGCACCAGGGGACATAAGAAAGCAGAACAACAGAGCTCACTGAGGCTTCGGGTTTGGGTTAGGACTCCTGATGGCCCCGCATGTGGTTCACCAAACATCCAATTTATGACTTTGTCACTTACACTCATGAGTTGCAATTACCTTTGTGATTAACTTTCTAAAGTGCTCGTGCCAGCACCATGCCTACCTGAGCAATTCATGAGTATTTCAGGAGAAGCGGTACAGTGATCTTCCCCAACACACAGAACAGTTTCAACATAATTAGCAGCATTTCTGGATCAACACAGCACTCTTATAAGGTGTATGATGGAGGAAATGAATGACTCTAATTACACCTTATTAAATTTTATTAATCCTCATTAGAACCCTATTATTCTTTATAAGTGGGTTACTGAGAAGGGAATAAAAGCAAGCAAGCAATGCTGGTCAAGTTCCGTTACGTCTAAATGAGCACTGGGGTAATTTCCCCACACTAAATAGCACCCAGGACACAGACTGGCTGGAATAAATACATTGTGATCTTTCTAAGTCTGAACTCTAGGAGTTCATGCTTCCGGTCTGATATCAGGTTGACTGTAAAGAGAAAACAGTTCATTATTTCGTGGGGTGCACGGTATCTTGATCTTCGCCACTGCTGCATTCCTGCTCTTCAGTGTGTAGTTGAGAAAGTTGAGAGGGCAAAGGGCTTCAGGAGTTTAAACCCAGAAGTGTTCGAATTTGAAGACCGCAGGAGAGGTGTTGTTCAATAAATGTTAAGTACAAGAATACTTGGATTAATTCTTAGTCAGAAAGCCTCATCAAATTCTAACCTGGAAAAGGCCATTTGAGCTACCCTGCACCCATGGTTCTTGGTGTACTTTGTATGCGCATGACTGGGTTAGGCTGCAGGAGGTCAGGGCCCCCAGGGTGGGTAGAAGGTGGCTTGAGAGTGGGAGAGTTCAGCAGCCTGCTCAGACTGTGGTGTCATGCGGGTCACTTTACCATATTTATTCTACACAAGCCACCCGAGATGGTGGCCGCTGGTCGGAAAGACGTTAGGGTGGGCTGAGTTTGCTGTTAGTGTGGGCTGAGGTGAGGCATTTCGTTTGTGTAGGGATAGGACAGAAACACAAAAGGAGCAAATCCTAGGTTGTTCTGTTTGTGACAGGGTCCACACAGACCTCCCTCCCTTGTGCTGGCATTAAAAGCCTTCAATACTGTGGGCCAGAGAGCCTACAAGTACCTCCTAGTCCGTCTCGGGGTTCCCATCTTTGCTCACTTTTACACGTATCAAAAAAAAAAAAAAAAAGAATCCACCCCCCCAACCTTCCAAGAACAGGCCTGTCTTTATTCAAACCAGTTCACCCAGTTCGTGTATTTTCTTTTTTTAAGCTGTAAGAACTGAGCAAGCTTTCTGGTTTTCCGCCAGGGCATGGTTGGGAAGCAATCTTAAACTCCAAAGGTTCATTTCTTTGAACAAAGGACAGGAAGTGGCCCGGATTGCCATTGTTACTCAAGGCTTGTCAACCACAACCTTCCAGGAACTGGGGCTAGTCACTTCAGTGGGTGGTCGAGTCATCTGCGCAGGTCTAACTTGGTCTGAGCTCACAGCACAGAGCTTGAGTCCTGCTTGGAGACGGGAAGGCAGCTGGGAGAAGAGTATCGGATCTGCTCCTAGATTTGCACAGTGCACGGCTGGGTCAGGTCCCAGCTCCTGAGAGCTTCAGAGCTCTCACGTGTCGAAGTGAACCGAAGTTGCTCTCTACCATCCCGTAGTTCTGAGTCCTACTGGAGTTCTGGGCGGGGCTCCGACGAGGCTCTTGGGGTGGGGGGAGTGGGTGTGGGTGTGGGGGTGGTATTCCATGACAGGGTCTCCTCGCTCAGGTTCAGCCTTCCAATTTGTCGCCTGCAGAGCGGACCCGAGGGTGCAGGTTTCTCGACTTCCTTCTGCATCTCCTTCCTCTTCCTCCAGTGGAGGCAGATCCCTCTTTCCCTTCCTCTTCCCATGCTCCCTGCACACCCAACCCCCCCCCGCGTCCCCTCCTCCAGGAAGTGCTCTGCCCAGAGTCGCCCACCTCGAGCGGGCGCTGCCCGCCGCGCCCCCTCCCCGCCCGGCTACTGCAGCGGCCCCGCGGGCACACGCCTCCCCATACCTTACATGGACAAATGCGTGCAGGCAAAGTCAGGAATTCAGGCCCCTGACGTCAGCCTCCAGCGCTCAGGGCACCGCACGGGAGACCGCGGGGAGGGGGGTGGGGAGGAAGGAGGGGGAGAGCACCAACCAGCAGCCGCTCCCGGCCTGCCGAAGTTTCACTTTTTGTCTGTGGGTTCGCTCCCGGGCTCCGCTCCGAGCTTTCCCGGGATAAGTAGCATTAGCGGCGGGAAGAGCTGGCCGCTGCAAGGTAAGGGCCAGCAGCGGGGACCGGGCACGGGGAGGGCGCGGGCCGGGCCGCTGCGGGCCGCGGGCCGGGACAATGGGAGGGGGGAGTGCCCGGCACCTCCTCCTCCGCCCGAGCCTCCGCCTCCAGCCGTCGCGGCCGCCGCTGCCCCGTCCGCCTCCTCCCCCAGGTATAGTAGCGAAGGCTTCCTCCCGCAGCCTCGGCCCGCGGGTGCCGCTCCAGCCCCCCGGTTCCCCCCCGGGGCGGGCCGCTGCGGTGGCGGGAGCGCGGGACCGCCCTGCTCGCCGCGGAAGTGCGGGCTCCGGGGCCGGGAAGCGGGGTGCACGGCGTGGGGGAGGGGCGGGGTTGCGGGCGTCCTCCGCGAGCGCCCCCGGCCCGGGCTTTTCTGGGTGCCCAGGGGGCGGGGCCGCACCCGTCTGCTTTGAGCTTTCGCGGAATCCCAGTTGTCACAGCGGAAAGGGCCTAGGGACCGGGTGACTCGAGAGTCTTCCCATTTTACAGTCGGGGCTGGCGAGGCACCCAGAGGCGGGCTTTCCAGGAAGTCATTCCTGGAAGGTGGAGCCCGGGTTAAGACCCGAGGCTCAGGACCCCCTACCGCCTTTTTCTGTGTGCGGTTTTGGAGTTCCCACTGTTTTCAAGCACTGTAGGTTACTCGAGGCCAGACTTTGCCCTCAGGGAGAGCTCACTGGAACGCGGGAGCCAAACCTGACCCAAAGTAGGAAGGGCCAAATGCTGAGGAGAACGCGAAGATCAGGTTTTTTAGAGGTGTTCTCGGGAAGGAGCTTCGTATTTTGGTCTCCATGAAGGGGCCAGAAATGGTTTTGTGACTGTGATTGACTGTTTGGAAGGATGGGGACTTTTCTTAAGTAAGAAAGGCAAGGCCTTCCTTGTCAGGGAGGCAACTGCAGACCAGAGGCTAAATAAGGGTGGGGAGTGGACACTGCTTTGATGGCTTGGGGTGGGACTATGTTGGGAAACCATACCAGTGGAGTTGTGGCTTCGGCACTTGGACAGGGCAGTTTAGGAAGGGGTCCACTGCTTCCCCCCTCCCCCACAAGGAAGGCCTAGCAAGACCTCACCATGAATCCTTTCTGTGACTTTCTTAACAGACTCTTCATCGTTTGGTTTCTATACTCCCTACCACTTTTGCAAGCTTGCCTCTGCAATAAAAACTTTCTCTCCAAGATGTTAGTGACTTAATGGTTCTCTGCTCCCCCCACAAGCAAGTTTTCAGAGACCCTTTAGAGGAAGAGAGGGAAAGTGTATAGGTCTGCTGCAGGATAAGTTAACCTGGGCCTGACCACTTTTCTCATTTTTACAAATAGGGAAACAAACCCACATCCACAGAGGTTGAGTGCCAGCCCTGTGGTCTCTGTAGATAATGGTGGATTGAGGTGGTGGTGGTGTGGTTCAGAAACCCAGTAATATTCTTACTATCCCAAGAGTCTCCTGGTGAGGTTCTCCCCAGCTCCAAGGGGGCATTTAAAGAGGAAATTATAGGGAGTCCAGAATGCTGTCTCGTGAGGATTAGCTGTGTGAAAGGTAGGGGGACATGCCAGGGGTCCTGAGGCCTGGACAGTGTTTTGTCTTCTATCTTCTGACCCCCTCTCCCCCCAGTTCCGTGTAAGCAGCTCTGGCTTGGAGTTGGGTTTAGGCAGTGGGAGGGGAACCAGTTCTTGAATTGATCTTTATGGCTGGGATTGAATAGCACCCTTCATTGAGGGACATTCTGGTAAGGAGGGCATTCCTCTGAGAGGGTAGACATTTCCAGACAGTGATAGGTAGGAGGGGAGACTTGATTTCGAAAGGCTTTAGGAATGCCAGGCCATATGACTTTTGAGGGTTTTGAACAGGCAGGAACATGATTGAGAGATTGGCATTGAGAAGCCTCTTGCTGCCCAGTTTCAGGGAGAGAGGTGATAATTTGGCTTAAGAAAATAATCATGGTTTGTTTCATTCACTTGGCATGTATCACTGAACACCTATTATGCACCACTGTCAAATATGGAAATTGTATGGCAGCTTCTTATTTTTATTAGTTAAATTCTAAACTGTACCTTTTTCACACCGTGAAATGTATTGTCTTTTAATCACAGATGTGTCCTAGTTGAACAGGTTTCTAATCTAAAGTTGATAATGACACACATAGTCACTGTTTTAAATTTGATAAAATTTGGTTGCCAGGTCCTTCATAAAAAATATTTTTTTCTCCAAGTATTCTATGGGAATTTCTTGAGAAGTAAGCATGGCGACAGGCCCATCTTCATTTTAACCCGTTATCTAAGGTTATAGAGCTAATTAGAGTTGTACACAAAACTGTTAATTTCTGACTATGGGTTCTTGGTTGGGGCATGCAACATTACCTGGATTTGGAGCTAGCACGAGTTAATTGGTGGTGAAGCAGAGGCAGGTTAGCTTTGATTTCAGAGCTATGGTTTATAGTGCTGGGTGATGGGGCCAGGTAAACCAAGGCCAGTATAACCTGTAAGGGCTGGGAATCAACTGCTCGGTAACTTGGTAGAGCAGAGGCTGGGGGCGCAGGAAGGAGAGCCAGTGTGGAAAGCATGCCTGAGGCCTGTTCCCCATAGACCAGAGAGACACTGGGTGGGCTGCTGGGAGTAAAAGTTGAGGAGGCCATCTTTCCTGTGTTGGAGGAGCACCAGGTGTGTGTGAATGCGGGAAGGCATGGAGGGTGTGGTCAGTGTTTTGGCTACTCAGTAGGCTGGAAATGATCAGTCTCTGGGAAATAAACCTCCACAGATGGCTTTGAACAGAATCTCCAGGGCTAGGAAAGAGAAATGTAGGTGAAGGAAGGAGTGAGCCGGGGCTCCTAGACAGAGGAACCACTGTGCAGGCACAGGGCCAGGGCGGTTTATTATGGCTATGTTTTGAAGGGTCAGCATGTTTGTGGAGGTTAGAGAACAACTTGGTGGAATCTGTTGGGTTCCAGAAACTCAAGCACCATGTTTGTACTGCAGTGCCTTTGCCTAGTGAGCCCTTTTGCCTCCCTTGAAAGAGAGGACTGTTTTTTTTTCTTGCAAGGTATAGTTTATATTTGTCTTGCAGCTGTGGGGGCCGTTAATCAACCCTTTTGAGGGTCATGATTTATAGGGGAACAAGGCTGGGCAGGGCCTCTGGAAGCTTCGCCGTGGGATTGAGTGTACGATGTTGAGGCAGAAGGCACAAGAACACTTTTCATAAGTGGATGAGTGAACTTGAGACTTTGACCCAGCTCAGTAAGGAGGGCCTCAGAGCTGGATGTGTGCATTGGTGGGTGGGGACGTTTCCTGGAATATGGCTTTGGAATGCAGGGCTTTGCCTAAACTCTCTGGAGGTGAGGAGGGGGGGGTGGGCTGCTGCTGCTACAGCGTGAAGGTAGGACCTGAGTAGGGATCTGTTGGTCTGAAGGTGCTTGTTAAGCGCAGAACCTGAGGGTGAGCAGTGGGAAGCGTGTTGTGGGAGTTTGCCTCAAGGCTTGGGGTGTTCCTGATACAGGTCACAGGAATGCGATTGGTCACCAGCGAAGGGCTAAAGGCAGCAAAGCTTAGACAATAGCTGTAAAGCTGAGGCTAGAGAGTGTTTATCTTCCTCTCCTTTCTAGGCAGCAATATACCTTAAAAGTTTTGAAAGCTTATGATACACTCATGTAATTACCACATTGATTCCCTAAGATTTATGATTGCTGTGGCTTGGGTGTGGTTTGTCCCTCGAGTTCTCCTGTGTTGAAGGCTTGGTTCCCAAGTATGGACAGCATGGTGGGACTTTTCCTGGGTTGTTCTTTAGGTGGTTAAGGGAGTGTCTTTTTTTTTAAATCTTACTTGAAGATGTAGTTATGGAAAAGTGAGCCTGACTCCTGATTGGCTCTTTGTTTTCCTGTTGGGTGATGTGATTTTTGTCCTGTGGACACTCCCATTATTTTGCTGGTGATACTGGTGATGTGCCTTGAGCTTCTAGGAACCCTGACTTAGGTAAGCCTCCTTTATTCATTGTGATCCCCAGTTTCAGGTGTTAGGTTATAAGGACTAAAACTATCCCGATGCAATGACTGCCAGTCTCCTTTTACAGATGAGAAGATGAGTGTGGTGAAATGAGGTTGCACAGCTAAGCGGCATGCTTAGTTCTAAACACTTGCAGGGTCTGTGTCCTCTTCACTGGATAGCATTGTCTGTGTCCACAATCCAGAAACTAGAGATCCATGGTACATGAGCACTGGGCCTTGGGCTTGCGCCTAAGGATGAACCTGGGCAAGTGGGCTTCTTGGTTCCGTGCTGGTTTTACCACTGACCCTTTCAGTCTGCTGGCACATTGCCATGCCTTCTACCATGCCAGATTGTGTGGAAATGGAGTCAACAAGTTAATGCTTCTTTCAATGTGACTCCCCTGCCCTGCCCATGGCATGACAGACCCCTGCCTCAGCACGCAGCATGAAACCTGGCAGAATGAATAAACTTTTTTTTTTCTCATTCTTGAGTCTCTCTTATCTCTGATACACCCAAGTAACTGTTGAGTGTTTAACCTGTTTATAATGTAATGATAGCCACGTCATATGCTAGGCTTGCTTTTTCTCGCCTCCCTCAACTCTGGCTGTCTTTTTGAGACAGGGTCTCATCCCACCCAGGCTGGGATTGAATTTACTGTGTAGCTGAAGATGGTCTTGAACTCTTCTTTATCCTCCTGTCTGAACATCTCACACGCTGGGATTACAGGTGTTTGCTGCTAGGGCCTGGATCTCTTTTCTCCTTAGACTGTCTTCATGGGCTGGAGATGTAGCTCAGTGGTGAAGCACTTGCCCAGCATTAGTCAGATTCCGGACTCCATCTTCAGCAAAGAAAGAAAGCTTCTCCAAGTCTGCAAGAATGTCTGCATTATAAATGACTGCATTCACAATGCCTGGCATGTTATGGCTGCTCAGGAAATACTTGTTGCCTGAAGAGGGGGTGACACAGGATGCAGACTTAGGAAAGGATCAGTGTTTTGACTGTCTAGGGCCTGGGCCACACAGA